ATCTTTGGGACAAGCATATTATATGACTACTGGCAGGATCAACCAGGTTGCATCTCCACACAAGCACAGACCTTCGGAGTTCTGTAACATGTGCACAACCCGACTTAGGCTCGAAGCTTCTGAATCTTCTACAAAAAAGCTCAAGGTGTAGTGTTTCGGCAGGGAGGCGGGGGTGCAGAAGCACCGAATGATCCCAAGTGTGAGGCTGTCCTCGCCGAAACTCTCAACATGTCTCGTGCCGGGCCACTTGTCTTCAGTGCCGTTGAGCTCCTGCAGGACCTGTGAGAGCTCATGGGGCTGTTGGGGTGCAAATCGCAGGGTGGCGAAAACCTAAATGCGCATGCAGTTGTAGTAGCAAGGGTGACCTAGAGAAGGATGATCCGGTGGACCCAGGTTTTTGCCAGGTAAACAGGAAGGTATGGATGGTCTCAACATGCTGAAAAATAACAACCGGAATCAGTCCTCATCGTCTTCTTGCTGAAGAAGGACGATGATGGCACGTGCAAGGGCCGGTAGAAAGCAAGAGGTGCCGGGCATGCTAGGTCTGTATTCTGAGCGGGTCCGGGTCCTACACACAAGATTTAGGGTTTAGGGTTTNNAGGCTTTAGGGTTAAGGGTTTAGGCTGGGATTGCACCAAGCTTACTGTAAGTGGCAGTAGCCCACTATGAGTGACTGGGCCTCTACCTACAATCTCCACTGTAAGTTCTTGCTTGGGCTAATGTAGGGGCCTTAATAATTAGAACAGGGTTTTGGGGGCTCCTTATTGTAATTATATAGTATAATGGGCCCCAAAACCCTATTAATAATTAGAATAGGGTTTGGGGGGTTCCTTATTGTAATTAGATAGTATAATGGGCCCCAAAGCCCTATTCTAATTATTAAGGCCCCCAAATATGAACCAACCTTCAGTTCGAAGTTACGAGCCACAGAGCTTGGTTAACCAAAACACGAAAATGGAGACTGTACGTAAGGCTAAAGAGCTTTAAACCGCGAAGTATATAACACATACGCAACATACAGAATATAATCTAGAATATCTAGCCTTCGTATGATGTGTGTATATATATACACACGTAATGTGAAACATAAAGCATATGATATATGTACGCATTGACTGTATATACTGTATTATTGCAAATATAACATAAAACTATGAAGCCCTGCTCCCCCCCCAACATTATAGAACAAGCAAACAAGAACAATCCACGGGAATCTGCACACGAAGCTCTACAAAAGCCCTCTGCAAACCCTCTCGCAGCCCAGACAACCTTATTCTAGTGTAGACCAGCCGTGAACCTCAACAAAACAGCTATGACTCATTCCACAAGCCGCTAGGAAGACTCTTCGGCCCCTGCCTTTGCAAGCCCTAAAGCTGCGAAGCAAACTCATCCCAAAAGAGTCCTTAACCAACTGCACCCCCCTGCGCCCCCCCCCGCCCCCCACACCCCACCAAACCCTAAACCCCCCAACCTTCTAAACCCCACCCTCTCTCCCCAGGCCCTCACAAAACATAACAAAGCAAACACACACACACACACACACTCAAGCAACAAATCCTAAACCCTAAACCCACAAACAAACAAAACTCAGCCTGGGCTGATGTGTGCAGTGCTTCGAGAGCTCCCGTCCGCTGGGCTTTGCGCCAGGCTTCCTCTGGGATCTGAGACTTCGAACTGCTTTCATGCAGGGGCCTGGATAATTACCAATACTATTTCGAGGGCCTTCTTGTTACAATTATAGTATAGTATAACCCGAAACCTTTATTCACACTAAGGTCCAAAAGACCTAATAATGATGTACTTGGGTTACTGATACTAGTTTTGTAGGTTAGAATTCAGAAGAGTATATGATTATTAGGTACTTGGTCCCTTAAGGTAAGGTTCAGGGTACCACAGGTGCCTTTACAATTAGATTCGGGTTTAGGGCTTAGGGGCCTTGAGAATTAGATCGGGGTTCAGGGTTTAGGGTAATATAGGGCTTTAAGAAATATGCTGTCGGGGTTTGAAGAATATTGTGCTAGCATCATATTCAGGACTGCAAGGGAATTTGTACAAAGGGTGTCATAGACGGTTTGTTCGGAGCTTGGGTTTTAGGGTTCAGGCTTCGGGGTTTAGGGTTTCGGATGAGAGTTTAGGGAATTTTGAGAGATGGATTCTGCTGAGACTTGGGCAATTAGTCGATCAGGAAGTCTCGCAGGCTGTCGGGGCATAAAGGGCTTCAGAGCTTGCTGCGTTGACATGTTGAAAATTCGGGTCCAAATCAGTACCTGCTTGTACCCTCAGGAGGGGGGGGGGGTCAATTTCATGGTCCCGAAACTCCCACATCTAGGTATCTGACAAAGGGAACAAAATGAAGATAGATGCAAGGTCTAAAGCTTAGCATCTTGGAGCCGACTTTGGTTTCAGGATGTAAGTATAGACGACAAGACTTTGATGTACAGGCTTGGAGTCAGTGCTTCCAATATCTTCGCATTCTGCCCTTTAACTAAAACTGCTTTTTGTTGTGTCTGTGTGGGGTTTCATGGCAACGAGCATGACAAAATGCTCTAGCGAGGTTTCGCAGCAGCGCCTAGCTCCAAGAAATCCACACCCGCGATGCAGAAACACTATGTGTTTATGCACTTTTTTATACCCACAGGCCCCATAGTAGTTCCTTTTTGGGGTTCATATAAAGAATCCTAGAAGGTAATCCTAAACAATGAACTACTATGGGGCCTATGGGTATATACACACATAAGTAAGTATAGACACCCAAGCCCTCAAACTCCTAACAGTTCCTAACCATTTGGACAATAAGTCGAGCTTCAGCTGCAGGACAAGATCCTTGATAAGACAACGGCACGGTAAATCTTCCATCGTTTAACGTACTGCGGACCGCTGGTTGATAAAGTTCCCTCTCTTTGAGGGCCTTCTTATTACCAGGATCCCTTGTCTTTAAAGTCCTTGAAGGTAGAGGGGTATTAGTCAGTAAAGTGCACAGGGTCCGAAAGTTCACCGGTTCAGGGTTGGGGGTGGCGATTTTACCATAAATTCCAGTACGTAGAAACTCTGAACACAAAACAACTCTTATATAATGCCTGGTAAGGCGGCCTTCAAGCAGTAGCTCCAATCCCAAAGTGTCCTAAGTTAAAGCCTACATAGTAGAAAGTGAAGTCTCTTCAGTAGCCCTAAGGGTCCATGTGCGCATATAGTATATACATTGGCCTTAATGTAGTCCCTATATGGGTACTTTAGGGCCGATGTATATGCTGTATGAGTACATGGACCCTTAGGGTAGGAACGACATGTATGTTTTGGGTAAGCATCCCCACACAGGTATGCAGGACTCTTTGGGAAGAATAGCTGCCACGGGTCCGCAGTAGGGGCCGGCTGCTGCTGTAGAACGCCGCAGCTGCTAAGTGTCCACATGGCCCAGCTCCTGACGACGTTGATAAGTTTTAGGCTTCGGGATCTTAACAGGCTTCTGGTTTAACGCTTTCTAGTGTTAAGTGGTTTGGTGATTATGCAAAGCTGCTGAATCTTTTCATGCTGCAAGCACTCCAAGGCATCAAAGCGCCTTGGGAACCTTACAACCTGCAGAGTCTACTTAGGGGTTCCAGGGACTTAGCAAGCAGATTCTTAACAAGTTGGGTTAGAAGTACCCCCAGTAGGGTTAACCTCAAGTTAACCTCATTACAACCTTACATATAACCTTACATGCTAAGCCCCATGAGCCTTTAAGTAGAGCTCAGGTCTGCGGGATTCCGGGTTGGAGATTCTCCGAGTTGGCACGATTCAGTTTGGCATCGTATGATGATGATCAAACCTCTCGCCTGGTGTAACTATCCCTATACCTAAGGGTCCATATACGTTGGCCTTAACGTAACCAACGTAGTCCCCACATGGGTACTTTGGGGCCAAAGTACCTACTAAAGGGTACTTAGCGTATTGTCCATGAGATGGACCACTCCAGGAAAGTGCAGCTACAAACTCCCAAAGGCTCCATGTACCCATATAGTAGATACTTAGGCCTCAAAGCGGTCCCTATATAGGTATTTTAAGGTCTAAGTATCTACTATATGGGTACATGGAGCCTGAGGGACTGCGAATGCGAACAGGACATCATCTGCCTGAAGGAGGGGACCTACGATTTCAATTTCGCTGTTCAAAGGGCAGAGCAGCAAAAGTATCTGACACCTTGAGCCCACAGTCGCTGCTATAGACGTCTTCACCCAAACCCTCTTAACCCTAAACCCTAAACCCTAAACCAGACCTAAACCTCAAAACACCCAAAAGCCCTGGACCCTCATCCCGGGAGCCGCACTGTCTTACCCAAGCAGTGAGCGTACTGCGCGCAGCGCCACTGTAGGCCTCCTGCAGTTGGTTAAATTTATAGGGGCTTCTTTGGGACTTGGGGCTTCAAGGGCTTCGGGTTTAGGGTTTAGGGCTTAAAGGGCTTAGCGTTTAGGGTTTAGGGTTTAAGGTTAGGATATCAAGCTTAAGGTTTCGAGAGGAGTTGAAGGTTTCAGCTGTAGGATCCTGCCTCCATGGTGTCGTGTTTTGCATGCTGCAGGGCGGATAGAGGCTGGGCATGCCGTGTGCTTCGTGACGCAGTTGTAGAATCGCAGAGCTAATTGGGTAGTTGTCAAATTATGGTCCCTTTTGGGGTACCCTAAATAATAGGTGCCGTATTATAATAAGGACCCAAAAAGGGACCATAATTTTGACAACCACCCAATTGAAATCAAGCCCCACCACTGTCGGCTTCCGATTGGTTCTTTTGGTGATCTGCTGCACAGCCCAGTTTCGCAGAAGCAGCTGGCGCGACACCAGCTAAAAATAGAGCCAAAACCCTAAACCCGAAGCACCTAAAGCCGCAACCCGGCTAAACCCAAAACCTTAATAGAACGACGAGTATCGGACCCTTCTCCTCCCTAAACTACACCCAAAACCGTGATAGAACAAGTCTAGGACCCTCGCTCCCCATAAACTAAACCCAAAACCGTGATAGAACAAGTCTAGGACCCTCCCTCCCCATAAACTAAATCCAAAACCTTGATAGAAGAAGTATAGGACCCTTCCTCCCCCTGAACTAAACCCAAAACCTTGATAGAACGAGTGTAGGACCCTTCCTCCCCCCTAAACCCTAAACCCTAAACCCTACTAAACCCTAAACGCCGCTGATCCCCAAACCCAGGCGACCCGGAGATGACCCGCGAGGCATCCCCATGCATTTCAGTTTAGAGTTTAGGGTTCAGGGTTCAGGGTTTAGGGTTTAGGATTTAGGGTTCAGGGTTTAGGGTTTAGGGTTCAGGGTTTAGGGTTTAGAGTTTAGAGTTAAGGCATTCAGAGCGAGAGAAATAGAGATAGAGAGAGAGAGAGAGAAAGAGACATGTATGTGTAAATATATGCTTACAAATAATATGAATAATCATAATAATAAGAAGAAGACTAATGACGATAACAAGAGGAAATGCAATAATTACAACAGAAATAATGATAGCAATGCTGCTACTACTATTAAAAACAATAGTCATAGCAGAAATAAAAGTTGATCATAATCATGGTCATAAGAATAATGATAATAATTTTTGTTACGGTTACGAGAATTCTAAGAATAAGAGCAGCCCAAGTAATAAACATAATGGCAATAATAATAATAATGGTAACAATCAGTAGGCGGTACATCCAGGGATCCCAATGCTGTACCCTGCAGCAAGGAATAGAAGGCTTCATGGGCTTCTATCAGTGTCTTGTGAGGGTTTTTAGGGTCCTTCAACTGAGAAGTATATCTAACATCATGATTCTCCGCCCCATATAGTGCAAGGCATACTCGTTTATTCAGGCGTTGGGCTCTCTGTGAGTATGTATCTCTTATGCGAGGTTTGGGCATTTTGGGCGCATAGAAATGAAAGACCGTCCATAATCCGGAGTCTTAGCTGCCATAAACACGAAATCGTTACACACGCACACACACTCTCCTCTAGGAACTGTAGTCGCTTCCATTCGAAGGTCTTTGCTTCGAACTTGCTGGTGCAACCTCAGTGCATTTACGACTAAGCGCTGTCTCACAAGCTAGCGAACGCTGAAAAAGGTCGCATTTAACATACTCACATGATTGCAGCGTATGAGAACCACTTTGCAGAGACTTCCTTCAGCAAGGACCTAGGAACTCTTGAAACTAGTACAGGGGCCTTAATAATAATTAGAATGGGATTTTGGGGTATTCTATACCATAGTTATAATATAAGGAACCCCCAAAAGAGTATAGGTAATCAATATTATTTTCGCCCCTATATCAGGCACTTGCTCAGCTGCGGGACGAGCGGTCTTGCAGAGTCTTGGGCTGTATCTACGCCGCACGACCTGAAACCCTAAAATCTTCTGTGCCCCAACAAGAGGCCTTCCACAATCCATTTCCACAGGCGCTCCGTGACCCAGTGCCTGCACCGGCATGTGCTCAAAATTCCCACGTGCTTGCCTCCAGTACTACATGTACCGCAAAAGGTGTTTAATGGTCCAAGTACCATATATACGGAAGGTATAAGGTTCAAGTACCATATATACATACGCAATATATTCTGAAGCTATAGTCAGGTTAAAGTCTCCTGCATTCGGACACGGTGATGAACGATACAGGGTGTGGGATTCAGGGCGTTGGGCGGGGCGCCGTTCAAGTTCCCAAACCACCCTGCAACCCCCTTAGCGCTAATATAGGGGCCGTAATAATTAGAATAGGGTGTTGGGGTCCATTATAATATAAGTATAATAAGGAACCCCCCAAACTGGTACTGGTCATTATTTCGGCCCCTACATTATGCAAACCCTGAACCCTGGGAAGGCCGAACTCCCAGAGATCGGAGCTGCTTTGCAGTGTTTTCTTTCTGCGATCATTCAGCACGCTGGCAGAATGGCTTGTGCAACATAGGGGCCTTAAGAACTAGAATAGGGTTTCGGGGCATATTGCACCATTATTACAATAAGGACCCCCCAAAACCCTACGTTGAGCCGTCCGTAGATGTGAGAACTTTAAAACTCCGCAAATAAAAAGCGCTGACGGCCGCAGGCACGGAAGTAGCTGTGCCGTTAAAAACAAACAGCGAAGTTATGGTCAGCTCCAGTTATTCCGTAGACGCAGTTGAGGACGGAGACGACTCCCTGTCACTTTCTGTCTCCGTTAGCATCGGAGTGCGAAAGGGTTCTTCGCCTCGGTTCTTCTTCGGAATCCCCAGCTCTACCCAGAGACTCCATAACCCCTTATTTAAGGAATATAACTTAAACTATAATCGGAATCCTAATATGAATTAAAGTATATTCCTTAATTAAGGGGTTTTGGAGTCTCTGGGTATAGGTTTTTCTCAGATTTGGCTTGCATGGTGTTGGTTCAGGCTTGCGGAGTATACGAGGCAGCAGCCCGAACTCCACTTTTAGGAGCGGTTTAATTCAGGGTTTGGGATTGAAGGGAGATTCCCCAAAGAACACCACTGCGCTGCTAGCCAGGAAACTCCGCAGGATGCAGCAGCCTCGAGACTTACTGGTTGATGATATAGATCCTGCATTACCCATAATAAGGCCTATGGCATAGTTCTATAGTTTAGGGTCCTTAAGGTAATGCAGGATGTATGTCATCAACAGTAGGGTTTAGGGTTGAGGCGTTTAGGGACTAGGTTTTGCTTTCTACAAGAGGTTTGGGGTTTAGGGCTTAAGGTTTCAGCTGCACGATGGTGGAGGGATTGGTGCGGAGGGCTCAGATTGAATCCTTGACAGTCTTAACATCCCCAGAGACTCCAAAACCCCTTAATTAAGGAATATACCTTTAAACTATAACAGCAGTCCTAATATGATTTAAGGTATATTCCATTACTGAAGGGGTTTTGGAGTCTCTGGGTCTTCATGGCATAGTGGAGTTGAAGTTGCAACACTGACATCCTCAAGCACAAACTCTCGCCAGCAATGGACGGTCCTAAATCACTTTTACACACATGAGGGAATAAACGGGTGACAAACAGTTTAGTGAAGATTGCCTTCGTTCGAATTTGCGACACAGAGCCGCAGATACACCCTAAACCGTCAGGCTACTTCAGGAGCAGCTTGACCCCAAAACCATGCGCCCGAAACACCGAACCTCACCCACTCAGGGCTTAGGGCTTAGAGTGTAGGGCTTAGGGTTTAGAGTCTGCTCGTAAACCTTACACGCTTCACTAAACTCTAACTCCCGCACCTATTAACCTAAATCCTAAATATCTGAATCCTCAAACCCTCAGCCGTGAAGCCCTAAACCCTTTTTAACGAGGTCCCTCTGAAGTGCCTCTAGCAGTATGGTTTCATCGATCTCTCTAGCTTTTCACAAGCCCCTAAACCCTAAACCCTAAACCCTAAACCCTAAACCCTAAAGCCCTAAACCCTAAACCCCTGAAGCCCTAAACTCGAAACCACGCATCCCGGAACCCCAGTTTCGTCAACTCGAGAGTTGACAAATCACAACCAAAACCCTACACCCTGCCTGGACCCCAAGGAAACTACCTTTTTAGGGTTTCTTACAATGATCTCTTTATATAAGTCGTTAAAAGGGTAGGTTATTTGGGGTTAAGGTAAACCCTAAAACCTACACCCTTCTTTGCATCAGGACTTGTGCAATCGCCTGAACACCGACTTCCACAATGCAAAGAATTAGTAAAACCTACACCCTAAATCCTAAAACCTAGAATGCCCTTCAAAAGCAAGATCTACCAGCCCGAAGTTCCCAAATCCAGTTACCTAAATAACGGGCGACCGGACTACATATCTTGGTTAGCAACATACTGTTTAGGCAACTGGAGCCCTAGAGAATTGCAGAGCATGTATGTAACTTGTAACACCCGGCCGTATGCCCCTTTTAAAGCTTTTCAATGAAGACTTGTGCCTCTTCCTCGTGCCAGAAAGAGCTGGACCAAGACAGTTCCGCAAAGGGGCAGAGATGCCAGTCGTTTCATGCCAAGACCTCAGATTACAGTAAGGATTGTCGTGAGGGGTTAGACATGTCAGGGGAGGGCCATGTCAGTCCGACAAACGGGGAATGGAGTGTCTTCATAGAACCATCAATACATGGAGAATGCTGACTGAACACCGCTACCCTGTTTATGCTTCGTAGACAGGTAGCAGTGCTGGCCCATACATTCGTTAGAGTTCACCATGTCAAGCATCAGCGTCAGGAGTGGCAGTAAGCGAAGACAGCTGATCCCAATGCGTGCTGGGTTACTGATGTAATCCCAAATGGGCCCTAAGTACCTATGTGTCTATATATATATATATGTATGATGATGGCGATCTATGTAAAAAAAAACGTATCTCTCTCTCTATATATATATATGTATATAATGCAGGTTCGGGGAGGTATCTCCCATAATGTAACAGTACCTAGGACCGTATGGGTCCTCAATGCCCGATCACTAAGCACACACCCCTCACTGGGTGGGACCTATAGCTGCAGGACACACCCTAAACCCTAAACCCTAAACCCTAAACCCTAAACCCTAAACCGTAAACCCTAAACCTGCAGGACACAAGGGACCGCAAGGATCCTTTGATAGCGGATAGCGCTACAATAGGCTCCCACTGAACACCTATGGGTAAGTAGATCTCTAAAGCACAGTCCCTTTTGGGGGTCCTTTTTCGGGGTGCCAGACTTTTTCATTGGGGACCTAAAAAGGGACCCTAATTTCGAGAACTACTCCTCTAAAGTCTCTAAAGTTGCGCTCTGAAGCTGACAGCGGCGCCACGGTTGTGTGGGGCTCAGGAACTACCGGGCTGATATCGTGGTGAAAACGCGCTAAACAAGAAACAAACTGCAGTCAGTGTGGTGTATACCGGAAACAAGAAGTGCATAGAAGTGCTAGTGCAAGCAGAGTGCACGCAAGTCCGAGCATGATCGTGTAGACCGTCAGGGGCACAGCAAACCAAATCAGATACCTTGCAACTTTGCTCTGTTGAGTCTCCCAAACTGGAAGAAGAGGACAACAGGTGACCAGGTAAACAGCCACAGTCTTCGAAATCATTTTCAAGATGAAGCATCTTTCATCACGAGGTGAACGCCATAACAGGAGGAGCAGGCCAAGACGAGCCGCAACGGTGATGCTGAGCATGAGCCACAGGGGGACAAATACCAGGTCCATACCGTTGCGACGGTACACGAAGTCGCAATAAATAGACCACAGGGATTCGCAGGTAAGCGGTACGAGCGCAACGAAAGGAACAGCGATCTCGGCGTGGCCCGCACCTCGAATCTCAATGCCTCGATGTGCAATATCTCGAAGTGTTGACGATGACATCCCTGCAGACAGAAGCACATAGATAGCAAAGTCTACATCAACGATTTTCTCGCCAATCTCTTCGAAAATCCGTGCTGCATCAGCTTCCTTGGAACATGTTGCCCGCACTATGCTGCCCGAAAACCCACAACTGAGATATTTGGCTTCCTCCATTCTGGCTTGGCCGTTGATGCGGTCCACCTCCAACAGGAAGAAGAGAGTCCAACCAGCGATAAGAAGCAAGTGCTGCTCCACCATGGCCGTGAACCAAGGCATCTCTTCAACAGCTGTTCGCCAATGCACGAAAAGGATGCCAACGGCCACGGCGCCGATCCTGTTCAAGAGCTTGCGACAGCTACATTGGTTGATGTTGGCGCTGATACCTGCAGCGACCACTACGACGTACAGGGGAATCGACTTCATCTTGATGTGAAGCGAACAAAAGCCTGGAGTGTTGCGAAGGCGGCTAATCTCATGCGTGTGTTTTCGGCAGGTCTTGAATGGTTTTTACAAGCCTGGACCTTTAGGCACTGAACGAAAGTCTTTAACAACAGGACTATGAGCATCAAAGGCGCCACATGCCACACCCAGGAGTCCTGATGGCAAGTCGGTCTACCAAGCGTTGTACGGTTTCGGACAGCCTAACCAATCTGCGACAATCCCTCGGCAGCAGTGAAATCGAAAGTTAGGGCCGAGGCTTGAGGACTGGGGCTTAAGCCCGACCCTCATCTCAAAGCCAAAATGACAAATTCTAAACTGCAGGGCTTTACCTATAGGGAACCGGATACCCTCAAGGGTCTTGGTACCCTAAACCCTAAACCCTAAACCCTAAACCCTAAACCCTAAACCCTAAACCCAATGCCTCGGACCGATGGTGTCCTGAGAGGCTCACCCAGATGATGGCACTGCGCAGCTGCTTGGTGTTCGAAGCCTTAACTGAGGGAATCATAGGGGACTAGGGAATTAAGGGTTTAGGGATCTAGGGGTACTTAAGGTTTCAGCACTCGCCCGAAGTTTAAGGTTTAGTGGTTCAGAAAACAGGAATTCCGACCCAAAGCAGTAAAAGCCTAACCGAAAGAGCATACTGCTTCAGGCATTTGGGCTGCTTTTGTGCCTCAGCATTGTGCATCTTGAAGAGCCAAATAAGTTAGAGGCTGC